TCATCAATTACAATTGGGAGGGGGTTTCAATTAAACTTAGTGCTCCAATTTATCAGGCAATGACCCTCCACCATCGCTGTCAATGGTAACCTGGGTGCCAGTGTTTGCCAGTCAGGGTATCGAATACCAATAATTGATTATATTGATTTTTATGTTTTTCATAGTTTTTATGGCTGAAGTGCCGGACAACTAAAATGGGATGTTCATCTGATTGCCAGTCACCTCTAGTATCAGTACCAAAAATCAACAGACACAGAGTGCTTTCCAAATGCTTTATTTACACTTGTATTGATTTAATAGAATTTTCATAAGCAATATTTCGCTACAATATGCCAGGAAGGAAGGGGAGGGTGATGAATAAGTTTTACTTGTCTCCTCCAGCATTTAGAGTGCAAAAAGCCATATGATCGTGACAAAATGTTGCCAGTTCAGTTCTGTAGTGGGCATATTCCAGGCATCTTCAGTGGTTGGCACCACAGCAGAGACTTTAACAAGGTCGCCAGGTCCTCTTGCCTTGAAGACCCACCTCAACTTCCTTCGTCCGCCTCCTATGAAACCTGACCAAAACCTGTTGGGACCACATCATGTGTCTCCGGTCCCTCAGGTTATTCCCTGCCTGTTCTGGATCCTGACCCCTAGAGAAAATTCCTCTTATGGGAAATCTTTGAGCTGGTAGAGCAGACAAACTAATGAGTACCATTGTGCGGATGAGTGAAATACTTAGCGAACAAGAACAGAATTATAGCTAAGATTCTATTTGATTTTACTCTTAGCAAAAAGGTAAAAGTAAAGGACCCCTGGACAGTTAAGACCAGCCAAAGACAACTATGCGGTTGCAGCGTTCATCTCACTTTCCGGCCAAGGGAGCCAGCGTTTGTCCACAGGCAGCTTTCCGGGTCATGTGGTCAGTAGGATTAAACCGCTTTTGGCACAACGGAATACTGTGATGGAAACCAGAGTGCATGGAAATGCCATTTACCTTCCCGCCGCAGCGGTACCTATTTATCTACTTGCACTGGCGTGCTTTTGACTGCTAGGTTGGCCGGAGCTGGGACAGAGCAACGGGAGCTCACCCCGTCACGGGGATTCGAACCGCCGACCTTCTGATCGGCAAGCCCAAGAGGCTCAGTGGTTTAGACTGTAGCGCCACCTGTGTCCCTCTTAGCAATAAGGATACAGGACTAAGAACAAACATATAGATTTCATATGGTGGCTTAGAAAATTTATAGCGTTACCAAGGACAAAGAGTTCATTTGGAAATGAGTCATTCCCACTACCAAGCCTAGATTTCCAAGTTGATTTATTTGGTTGTTTTGTTTCACTAAGTGGTCATAAACAGATGAAGCTACATTATACTGGGACAGTCCATCTGAAGCTCCCTTGCATTATTGGCCTGTGTGGCTCAGTAATGTCTACACTGGGCAGATGGCAACTGTTCGGGGTTTCAGACAGTTATATTTCCAGCTCTACCTGGAGACACTGGCAACTGAACCGGGATCTTCTGCTTTCTAAGCCTGTGAACCAGCACTTAAGCTGGTTAGAGATAGCAGGGTGTTTTATGGCAGTTTCAATATTTACAAACCAGTTTGTCCAATCACTACATTCTATTGTTTCCTCAGATAAGCAGGACCCCGGTGAACAATTAAAGCTTTCAATAAATAATCTGTAAGCACATTCATTTGATTTACTGTTATTTGATACAGCAGTTAGTTTCAATGGGGCAGTTAATATTGATCATGCAAAGCACTACACACAAACATGAAACACTTCCAGAACTCCATGGATTATTACTTTTTATCTGCCACTCATCACAGTTACTTGTAATTGTAGTGAGATTTAAAATCAATAATAATTAGTGTTCTTGCACATTTAAAAGAAAGGAATAGGGTAAGTTATGTTTTGGTTTGGGCAAAAATCAGACACAACCGACCACCTAAACATACAAGGGCAGGGCAAGTTTCTGGAAGAATATTAGTACAGCATGGATAAAAAGTCAAAAACGTATCAGACCAAATCAAGAAGAAAACAGCTTTGCCAGGATGTGACTAACTTGGGAGTTATGTAGGCACCAAGATGACAAGCAGTGACAATGACACCATCATTTTGAAGGAGGAGGAGGAGGAAGAGAAGAAACAGCAGTAGTATGGGAGATAGAAGTACGAAGGCAATCCAGTTTGCCAAAGCAATTATGACCAACAATAAAGAATTTGAAGACACAATTATCTATCTTCAGATTAGTACACCTTGATCTGTGCAATGCAACTTCGTTCATTCCCATGTGTTTTAATACAATACTGCCAGTCAAAAGCTTGTTAAACCAACTTTGATTCAGCACTGACCCAAAGTAAACATGCCCAATGGTTTGCCTCCAGTTCTGGAAGTGGAAAGCTTGTTTGGTTAGACTCATCATGATACAGTGCATTTGGTAAGGGGTTGCTTGTGCTGGTCTCCAGTTCTTTACAGCTAATACTGGCAGCCGTGTACCTTTCTCCGCTCTTCTGGCAAATAAAATTGTCACTCCACTAGAGACACGCACTGAAAGCTGTTTTTTCTTGCCAGAAATAACAAGGGATTCACTGTATGGGCAATGTTAATTTTTCTCCTTTGAAAATGAACGGGAACGTTGCCACTGATACAGCAATGAAAAAAATCCATCCTCTAACAAGGACACCCATTCCAATTAAAGGGACTAGCAGAGCTGCTGTATGTGAGATATTGATCTATAACCAGTACTCTTCACTGGTTCTGGTGCACATAATGCGAATTTAAGAAAACAGCGGTATTCTAGCTTTTTCGCTACTGTAATAATTCTAGATAATTAAAATGTGATTTCATTATTAAACTGCAACAAGAGCTCTGTATGAAACAAACCATTCAGAAAGATTTCTTTTTCATCAATTATTTGTTATTTATCTGATGCAACAATATGAAAGGCTGATTAAAATGTATGATTCCATATGCAGTTTCTCGTCATTAAGGCCAATGGAAGCATTTTGAGGACCATAATGAAATAATTACATTTGCTTTCAAGTATTCTCCTCTTCAATAATGTACAGCAATGCAGCACTAAATTAAAACATTAGGAACTAAATTTCACTTGCATCTATTTCCATTTGAGCTAATTATATCCCCAAGCTTTCCAACAAACTAGGCCCTAAAAATCTTTTGAAGTTGAAATGGCCCAAAGAAAAAGACTTTTATAGTTAAGAGCTTTGATGAAAAAACAAAGGCGATTCAGCCTCAGATGCCTAAATATTTCAAGGAAATAAAATATATATTCAGGAAGAAAGTTGGGCAAAATTCAGGGAATTATTTAAGTATTCAAGCTTAGTTGTTTAAATGTGCATGTTGTGATTCTGGCTCCATCTATATTTGCCACTTCTCAACAAATTAATGCCTTCCTACCACAGAAGAACCACTAAAAAATGGGTTCAGTACCTAGTTTGGGTTCATGAATACTTTTCAGCTCTTCAGTTTAATTATGCTCAAGATGTTAGATTTTTTATTTTCAAAAAAAGATTTTGTAATCACTTCAGCCACCATAGAGCAATTTTGAACCAGTTCAGGCCTTCACAACTTACAATAACTCCCAGTTTGATAGTAGGCTACCAGCCAACATGACAGCTGATTGAAAGGCTACATCTTTATGCACTCCAGGCGGACAAGAAAATCAGGAAGTTGACTGTGTGGTTGGGTAGGCTGCCTTTGGATTGGCAGAGCCCAAGCTGCAGAGCCTTGGGCTAATGTTATAGCATTAGGGAAGAGTTGTATCTCAATGACCTACTTGGAACCTCAAAGAAAGTTGTCTCTTCAATACATATTGCAGGATGGGGGATCACAGCACCTGGGCACGAAAATACCTGTTTGAAACCCTTGTCTGTACTATACATTTAAAGCAGCATCATGCCACTTTAAAAACAGTCATGGCTTCCCTCAAAGAATCTGGGGAACTGTAGCGGGGTTTTTTAAAAGGTACTGAGAGCTGCTGGAACACCCCCGCTCTCCTCACAGTGCTACAATTCCCACAGTTCTCTTGAAAGGTGGATTGATTGTTTAGCTACGTACTCTGAAAACTGCAGCTCCAGCTATAGGATTTTTAATACAAATTCAGCAATCATTGTATTCAGTTTTCATGAAGGAAAATTCATTTTCAGTCTCAGTTAGTGCAACCATTGTGTGACTTTCCGGATGCAAATTGTTTGAGGTTTCAAATATCAAACACAAACACATGAGTAAAGGTAAAGGTAAAGGGCGGTTAAGTCCAGTAAAAGGCAACTATGGGGTTGTGGCACTCATCTCGCTTTCAGGCCGAGGGAGCAGGCGTTTGTCCACAGGCAGCTTTCTGGGTCATGCGGCCAACATGATTAAACTTCTTCTGGAGCAATGGGACACCGCGATGGAAACCAGAGCACACGGAACCGCCATTTACCTTCCCGCCACAGTGGTACTTATTTATGTACTTGCACTGGTGTGCTTTTGAACTGCTAGGTTGGCAGGAGCAGGGACCGAGCAACGAGAGCTCACCCCGTCACAGGGATTCGAACTGCTGACCTTCTGATCGGCAAGTCCAAGAGGCTGAGTGGTTTAGACCACAGCTCCACCCGCATCCAATAAACGCATGAGTACTCTGCTGCCCCCCAGACATGCTGTGTTTGGTTTATCTGCTCAGGCATGTTCACTCTGGAAATTGTGGCATTCTTGTTGCAGGATGGGAAGGGAGGGATAAGGAGAATGTCACCCCTCTCCCCCATTTATAAAAACTTGCGCTTTTTTGTGCAAGGAGAATGGTTTCTGAGGGAATGGGAAAGGCTGAAGCCCAAGTCATGCACATGTTCTGCCCTGTTCCTGCCCCGCTCCACTAGTTAGAACAAAAAAAGCAGAAAGGTGCAGGATATTGGTCAGGTAATATAGAAGGATTGTTAAAAACCTGCTAGCAATCAAACCAGCCAAATCCATGCACTAAACCTCCCAGCTAGAAGCACGTTGTGTTAAAGCACTGATGGGATAGCTCAGTTAGTAGTGCATGAGACTCTTAATCTCAGGGTAATGGGTTTGAGCCACACAATGGGCAAAATATTCCTGCACTGCAGGGGGCTGGACTAAATGACCCTCAGGGCTCCCTTCCAACTCTACAGTTCTGTTATTCTGTGTTGTGATGCACAGCACATATGGCCCAAGCAGCCCATCTGAAAATGGTACAATGCCCAGGGAGGAAGCCTCATCCCAAGTAATTATATGTAGAGAGGAACAACACATTTTTGAGTATTTTGTAAAGCTAAAAATAATAATAATACATCATCTACTCTATATTAATTGCACCAGTAATACTACTGCTCTGTATCACGAAGCTCAGTTGAGTCATGCTCCATTCACAGATATGCTTTTCAAGAATGGGAAAAAGCTGACTCATTTAGCACCCTGAGTCTGTGTATGCAACAGTATGGTGTGGAAATGAATCACCTGTAACTAATGTAGTGTTGAGTATGCCTAGCAAATTAACAAGTCAAAGCCAAGCGATAAGGATTCTATCAGCCAGTTGGAATCCCATTCAAACAAATCCAAATGTTATTCTTCATCTTAAGGCAACAGTTATGTTTTGGAAATGGATCAAAACACGAAGATAACTCTGTTACTGCCAGAATTTGTCTGCCACACCAGTTTTTATTAACAGGAATAGCTAATGTGGAGTCCACACCCTCTGGAGTACTATAGCTCTGCTGCCAGTCAGAACTGGGATAATGAACAATTGGTCTAATCTGGGATAAAGGAAGTTATGCAAATACTTCCAACCCTCAAATTAAACTTTTATATGCCCAAATACCAGTGGTTAAAGCAGCAGCCATCTCAGGTGTCGCCAGTGTGTGTGCACAGCACGCTTTCCATTATCAATTAAGTTCTGGGAATAGAATTAAATTCCTTTTTAATTCAAAAAGAATTATCAACACAAGCTGAAATTATTGCGAATTATTGAAGACGTGAACTATTGAAGATGCTTACTTTGAGCAACAAATACAACACTGCTGCTGTTTCCTTCTTGGCCATCAAAAGTTTATTGTATGAAATGGGCTGAAACGTTTCTTTTCCTCACACTTACGAAGATTACGGAAATAAAACTGAGCTGGCATTCCGTCACAAATGAAGACAGCTTTAAAGAGGTGCATCTGTTAAAATATTTGAAAACAGGCTAAATTGACAGCTTGAGTAAAAACAACGGAAATAAGACCAAAACAAACAAGACACGCTACTGAAATGGCGATGAAAGCAAATACTAATCTCATCTCCATGAGAATGCATTTGAAACCAAAGGAAGTTGACTTTGTGAAACAGAAGGCTATGTGAAGCTATGTTGGGTCCATTACACTTCCCAGAGCTTGAGCTGCCCTAAGCTGAAAGTATAGCTAAAAATGTTTGTCTACAGGCAAACAGGGTTCCCTTAGTCCTGGCGGCTTACATCACCCCATGCAACGGGAATAACTATTTTTCTGTGTAACAAAAAACCATGCCCCCCACCCTGCTGCAAATAAGAATTTTTGATCCAGTAACTCAGCATTGTTTAGCTGAAGAAACTAAACTCCCATCTGCTACAAACAGCACACTTTCTTCACATTTTTCCTGCACTATTATACTTCCAGAATTTCTGGGGAAATGACACGTCTCAGATGTAATCCTGGGCTTATTTACACAAGCTCAAGTACCACTAAAGTCAAGGCAGCTTATGCATCCATAAAGACAGCTATTTCTGTTGCATAAAACAGTCAGCATACCAGGACTCCAACCAAACAAGTCATAGAAACCTTTGAATTCCACCTCTTTGCAAGTCTTCAATCTTAGGTGGATCACAACTTTTTGTTTAAAATCCGTGTTGTGAGCCTTCAATTGCACAACTGCAGTCTTCTCTGAGCACTTGAGATTTAGGGAGATTTAATTCTAAGTAAATGTACAAAGGTCTGGGCTGTTAAATCCATGTCTTCAAAGGCAATTATGCTCTGAAGTCTATTATGATGTGTGGGATTGAAGGAAAGGGGTGTATTCACTAGTTGTAAAAAGGCTCCCGTCTAAAAATAACACCCATATTCATGAATAAATGTTATGTTCTAGATACTCAGCTGCCACTTAAAGCTATGCATGTTGGAGTTGCAACAATATGATTGGAGTCCTTTGATTTTACTCTACAGCCCTTTATTTGTTAACAAAGGATAGGAAACAAGATAGATTTATTGGCTGGGAGTTTGTTAAGAGGGAGATAGTAAAAGCACAACGTCAGGCAATACCAATGAGATGGAAACATGGAAGGTGCCTAAAGAAGCCAGGGTGGCTATCTAAAGAACTTTTAACTGAGTTAAGATTAAAAAAGGATGTGTACAAAAATGGAAAAGGGGAAACCACCAAAGAGGAATTCAAACAAATAGCCAGCACGTGTAGACACAAAGTCAGAAAAGCTAAAGCACAGAATGAACTCAGGCTTGCTAGAGAGGTTAAAAGCAACAAAATGGCTTTTATGGGTATGTTTGTAGCAAAAGGAAGAACAAAGAAACAGTGGGGTCACTCAGAGGAGAAGATGGTGAAATGCAAACAGGGGACACAGAAAGGGCTGAACTCCTCAATGCCTTCTTTGCCTCAGTCTTCTCCGATAAAGAAAACAATGCCCGACCTGAAGAATTTGGAGCAAATGATTCAGCAAAGGAAACACAGCCCAGAATAACTAAGGAGATAGTACAAGAATACTTGGCTAGTTTAGATGTATTCAAGTCTCCAGGGCCAGATGAACTGCATCCAAGAGTATTAAAAGAACTGGCAGATGTGATCTCAGAACCACTGGCAGTCATCTTTGAGAATTCCTGGAGAACAGGCGAAGTCCCGGCAGACTGGAGGAGGGCAAATGTTGTCCCTATTTTCAAAAAGGGGAAAAGAGAGGACCCAAATAATTACCGCCCAGTCAGTCTGACATCAATACCAAGGAAGATTCTGGAGCAGATCATTAAGCAAACAGTCTGTGAGCACCTAGAAAGGAATGCTGTGATCACCAATAGTCAGCATGGATTTCTGAAAAATAAGTCATGTCAGACTAACCTGATCTCGTTTTTTGACAGAATTACAAGCCTGGTAGATGAAGGGAACGCAGTGGATGTAGCCTACCTTGATTTCAGCAAGGCATTTGACAAGGTGCCCCATGATATTCTTGTAAAGAAGCTGGTAAAATGTGGTCTTGACTATGCTACCACTCAGTGGATTTGTAACTGGCTGACTGACCGAGACCCAAAGGGTGCTCATCAGTGGTTCCTCTTCATCCTGGAGAAGAGTGACTAGTGGGGTGCCACAGGGTTCTGTCTTGGGCCCGGTCTTATTCAACATCTTTATCAACGACTTGGATGATGGTCTCAAGGGCATCCTGATCAAATTTGCAGATGACACCAAACTGGGAGGGGTAGCTAACACCCCAGAGGACAGGATCACACTTCAAAACGACCTTGACAGATTAGAGAACTGGGCCAAAACAAACAAGATGAATTTTAACAGGGGACATATAAAGTATTGCACTTGGGCAAAAAAATGAGAGGCACAAATACAAGATGGGTGACACCTGGCTTGAGAGCATTACATGTGAACAGGATCTAGGAGTCTTGGTTGACCACAAACTTGTCATGAGCCAACAGTGTGACGCGGCAGCTAAAAAGCCAATGCAATTCTGGGCTGCATCAATAGGAGTATAGCATCTAGATCAAGGGAAGTAATAGTGCCACTGTATTCTGCTCTGGTCAGACCTCACCTGGAGTACTGTGTCCAGTTCTGGGCACCACAGTTCAAGAAGGACACTGACAAACTGGAACGTGTCCAGAGGAGGAGCAACCAAAATGGTCAAAGGCCTGGAAACGATGCCTTATGAGGAACGGCTAAGGGAGCTGGGCATGTTTAGCCTGGAGAAGAGGAGGTTAAGGGGTGATATGATAGCCATGTTCAAATATATAAAAGGATGTCACATAGAGGAGGGAGAAAGGTTGTTTTCTGCTGCTCCAGAGAAGCGGACACGGAGCAATGGATCCAAACTACAAGAAAGAAGATTCCACCTAAACATTAGGAAGAACTTCCTGACAGTAAGAGCTGTTCGACAGTGGAATTTGCTGCCAAGGAGTGTGGTGGAGTCTCCTTCTTTGGAGGTCTTTAAGCAGAGGCTTGACAACCATATGTCAGGAGTGCTCTGATGGTGTTTCCTGCTTGGCAGGGGGTTGGACTCGATGGCCCTTGTGGTCTCTTCCAACTCTATGATTCTATGATTCTATGATTCTATTTCATTGAAGGGAAATCTGAAGGGAAATTCCACAATGATGCAGACTGACTTATTGATAAAGCCCAAGCATTGAACATCAAAATTCACACAGAACAATAAAACGAAGGCAAAAGAAAGTATCTGCAGACCTATTTACATGTTACTCATGCGTAGAGCAGGCAGAACTTCTAGCCTTGTCCCCGATGTTGTGTTTTCTTTCCACGACAGTGACTTCAAGGGAAGGAAGAGGACCACTCTCTTCTGCCTTGGTCAGACCACACCTGGAATAGGGTGTCCAATTCTGGGCACCACAATTTAAGAAGGATGTTGACAAACTGAGACATGTGCAGAGTAACCAAGCTGATCAAAGGTCTGGAAACCAAGCCTTATGAGGAACAGTTAAAGGAGATGGTTATGTTTAGCCTGGAAAAGAGGAGACTGAGAGCAGGTATGATAGCCATCTTCAAATATCTCAAGGGCAACAAGCTGTTTTCTCCTGCTCTGGAGGGTAGGACTCGAACCAATGGCTTCAAGTTACAAGAAAGGAGAGTCCAACTAAACATGAGGAATAAATTTCCGATTGTAAGAGGTGTTTAACAGTGGAACAGAGGTTGTGGACTCTCCTTCATGGGAAGTTTTTAAGCAGAGGCTGGATAGCCATGTGTCATGGATGCTTTAGCTGAGATTTCTGCATTGCAGAGGGTTGGACTAGATGACTCTCAGGATCCCTTCCAACTCCACAATTCTATATGCAAGCAGGACACCCACACAGCCAGGCTCCCTGATCATATGGAGTTCAGCTGTGTGGG